TTTAACGCTCCCCTAACACTTCCGACCAAAATCCTACAGTTTTTAACACTTTTCACCAGTTTCAACAGGTTTTTTAACGCTCCACTAACACTTCCGACCAAAACCCTACAGTTTTTTCCACTTTTCACCAGTTTCAACTGGTTTTTTAATGCTCCCCTAACACTTCCGACCAAAATCCTACAGTTTTTTCCACTTTTCACCGCTCCCCTAACACTTCCGACCAAAACCCTACAGTTTTTACCACTTTTCACCAGTTTCAACTGGTTTTTTAACGCTCCCCTAACACTTCCGACCAAAACCCTACAGTTTTTACCACTTTTCACCAGTTTCAACTGGTTTTTTAACGCTCCGCTAACACTTCCGACCAAAACCCTACAGTTTTTTCCACTTTTCACCGCTCCCCTAACACTTCCGACTAAAACCCTAGAGTTTTTTCCACTTTTCACCAGTTTCAACTGGTTTTTTAACGCTCCCTTAACACTTCCGACCAAAATCCTACTGTTTTTTCCATTTTTCACCAGTTTCAACTGGTTTTTTAACGCTCCCCTAACACTTCCGACCAAAACCCTACAGTTTTTTCCACTTTTCACCAGTTTCAACTGGTTTTTTTAACGCTCCACTAACACTTCCGACCAAAACCCTACAGTTTTTTCCACTTTTCACTGCTCCCCTAACACTTCCGACCAAAACCCTACAGTTTTTACCACTTTTCACCAGTTTCAACTGGTTTTTTTAAAGCTCCGCTGACACTTCCGACCAAAACCCTACAGTTATTTCCACTTTTCACCAGTTTCAACTCGTTTTTTAAAGAGACGTCCATTAAGGATGACAGGAGGCACAGCAGCCCTCTGTCTGATGGACAGATGTGTTCATGATGACTTATATATTTACTTTTAATTCATTCACAGTGCGGTATAATGAGACAATAACAGGCTACAGATGCGGACATATACACACACATATATTTATATAAATATATACAATTTCAGAATCAAACAAGTATGAGAGCGCTCTCATAATAACGTAACACAATCAGAGACTGGATATATCACCCCCTCCTCTCTCTCTCTGGTCGCTGAAATGGGGAATTGAATTTACTGGCCAAAAGTTGTACAAGTATTAAAAGTAAGAATAGGACACCAAACCAACTAAGACCCGTCTGTCCGCCGCATCTACGCACTGTACAACACACACTCCTACACACAGGCTACCACACACACCTATGCTCCTAAAGCATAATCAGGCTACAGCCGTTGTGTATTTTATTATGTGAAGCACTAAATATCGACTTTTTGTTTGTAGATATCTACTAAACTAAAGCATACAAATACAGAAAGTAATGTAGGCCTGTTATACTGAGTGATATATATTTTACACACTGCTCTGCTTTCTGCACGGACATCACAGCTGTTCTCACTGTAAACATCGCGTTGCGATGAAAGCAGTTACTAATATAATATCCAAGGGATGCATGCAGAGCTGTCATTGGCTGAGATAAGTCCGGCCGTGCGTCACACCTCCACCGTTCCCGGAAATGCATCCGTGGAGGAGCCGTGGAGGATGCATCAGTGTCTCCTCGGTTAGAGCTCCTCCAGAGAGCCTCCTCGATGCTCGATGCTCGGTCCTCGAAGTGCATTTAGAGAAATGAGATGTCCTTCAACATGGCGCGCTGAAATTCATTTCCGGGTCACTACCGGAGGACCGAGGAGTCGAGGAGGGGACATTTGAGTATTGAGAAACCTCTAAGGATGAAAACATGTCAAAACAAAAAGGTGGAAAATGAAAACAAAAATCCAAAATCATGACAATGATTGTGGAAAGTAATTCAGCACAAAGGCCGTGGGGGTTGATGAAAAGAGCCAATTAAGTGCAAGCAGGGAGATGTTTGAATCAGTACATTGCAGGAGAACGGCTTACAAACTGTAAGTCAAGCTGACAAGAAGGAAGATGCAAATTGCTGTAACTGGTAAAGCTCATCATGTCCCACAGCCAGGAGGCCTGAGAGCATGTTACAGATTACACTTCCACACAGACATATCTCAGTCCACTCAAATATGCCTTTGATTCATTACAGCAAACGTGAACTGCTTGGGCTGCACGGTCCCCCTGAGTACTCTGATTATGACGCTCAATGAGGCCTGATGTACAGTCTCTGCAGCCCTTACTATTGAACTGTCATCCCTCCCACCAGCGTGTGAGAACAGAGAGGGATTAGGCAGGAGAGTGATATGGTTGATGTGGATCATTAACATTCTTTATGATCTGTAATAGTAATTCCCAAGGCAGCAGGGAGATGATCAAATTAGTTAATGTGAAAGAAATTTAGATATTAACATCAAATAGTCTTGTTCTATTTCATCCTTACTGACCGCCAGAGGCGGTGCTTAGCACTGAATATCTTCTGTCTCGCGCATGCGCAGGTCTAATATTTATATCAACAAAGTCACGTGTTACCTCGTATGACCCCGGAAGGCATAAGTTCCGGTGTTGTCAATGAGTTCAGTCCTTTTTCATCTTCTCGCTGCACAGGTTACTACTTATGAGTAGAAGCCAAGCTAGCTTATTGAAGATAGATTCTAGCTCATCGCTACCTGTAGCCTTGTGATCGTCTCCATTGGAGCTGCAGGCTAGAAAAACGCTCGCCCTCCAAAGGCTGCGACGAGCTGTCCGCCCTCCCAAGGGAGGGGACCGCGGTGTTCACCCGCTCGGACCCCAGGAGCTCCGGACCGGTAAAGAGCGGACACTCCTGCACGTCAGCCGGTGAGATCGCTACCATTTATTGCTGATTGTGCTATCTATTCTCAAGCTAATTAAATAATTGCGTACAAGTTAGCCGAGGGCTCTCGCTAATTTGTTACTGCACTAGTGTAGAGAGCGTCCCCGCCCCCCTCTCACTACATACATTTGGTTCCTTACCTGTTCTATCGTCCAGTTAGCTGAGTGCTTTCGCTCAAGCTAACTGTTACGGCGCTAGTGAAGAGAGTGTCTTCGCTCCCCTCTCACGGCGCACAATTGGTTCCTGTTCCATCCTCCAGTTAGCTGAGTGCTCTCGCTCAGGCTAACCTGCTACGGCGCTAGTGGAGAGAGTATTCCCGCTCTCCTCTCACAGCATATCTACCACTAACTGACTTCGTTTTTCTCACCCCAGTTAGCAGAGTGCTCACGCTCACGCTAACTACTATTGTGCTCACTCCCCTCCACTGCGTATATTGTTTCCTGGCCCTCAGACTGACATAAGCTGCCAGCAGCAATTAGTATGGAGTTTTTTCATTGGTGCTGTCGCTATGTTTAACGGCTGTAACACCTGTATGGCTTCTCTTCAACCAGAGGATGGCCATGACCTTTGCCCCTCTTGTCTTGGCCTCGAGCATCTGAGGGAGGGCCTTTCGGAGGACCCGTGCATGAATTGCACCATCATGCCTCGTGCGGTAAGAGCTGCTAACAAGCCCGCCTTAACCTGCCATCAGGCCCTGGGGCTGATCGGTTTTGTAGGCCCCCTATTTAAACAACAAATCAAAGTCATTTATAGCCTCGGCAGGCTCTGTGATCGCACTTATCTACTCTGCTCTATGCGCGCCTGGTCCTCTCCTCCAGATGAGTGACGTATCGGGCCTCCCTCATGTATGTGTCCGGTTGCCGTTGGCTCCCCTCCACGTAGCAAGTCTTCGTTGTCCTCTCCATCTCCTCCAACAGATAATGTCCCTCCTGTGTGTTTTTCTCTCCCGCCACTCCATCGCTATCAGAACCAGACGGCCTACTTGGTTCCGAGGCCCCGCGGCCGGCACCGCTGCCGCTCGGTACAGAACTCATCTGTCCTTCCTCCTTATCCTGGCCTACGGGCTAAAAATAACCTGTAAGCTTCGGCATTTTTTGTAATAGCTGCTTGTCTTAAAACTCCTTTTCCCTCAACAATTTCCTTTTCCGAGCGCCACTCTCAAACTTTTTCTTCTCCGACATTTGCTCTTTAACAACCTTCTTCTGTCACTCAGTCGCAATTTGAATAAGTCACATGTGAAACATATTCTCATTCTGATTGGTTTTTAAGTGGTGCCCACTGACTGTTACGGAGTCAACATTTTTGAGAAAAATCTCTGGAATCCATCGATCTGATTGATTAGCGGAGCAAATGATCAAAATAGTATGGAGGGAAGATATTTTCGTTTGGATTACTGGTCTGGGAGAAGCTCGCGAGTGTGTGGGTGTATACGTGTGTGTTTGTGTATTTTTACGTTTGTGTGTATTGTGTTTGTTTCCCGGGGAAAACCCTCACGAGAAACACCGGCTGTTGTTATGCCTGTTGTGACGTCAAGTTACTCCGTTCTCCGCTTGTAATTATGCTGTTACAAGCTTCAAACTTGTATTTATCATCTGAATTTTCCAAAACAAGTTTAATATTCTGAAAGCCAAGACTTTGTTTATTTGAAACCAGATGAAAAAAACGGTAACGGACCCTGCCGTGTTATCTATGATTGCTATACGCCTTACATTCATAATTTCAGCGGAGGGAGGGGAACAGCAGAGTGGCGAGGGAGAGCTGTCTTCTTCCCTTTACAAGCTTCAAAAATGTATTTATCGTGTGATTTTGGATTTTTTAATGGTTCATGATAGGCCCCCAATTTCCGTAGGCCCCTGGGCTTCAGCCCAGGTCAGCCCGTGCATTAAGGTGGCCCTGGCTGCTAGACTAGCCGAGGTTGAACTACTGACTGAGGGTGGCCTTTCCCCTGCACAGTCGACTACAGCGGAAACCTACCCGTCCTAGGCGTAGGGCAGCAGAGGCTGCGGGTGCCCCACCCAAGAAGAGGACTAAGCCTGATAGGCTGTCCTCTAGGATGGACCTACTCACTACTGAGCTAGGCCAGATGAAGTCACTCCTCTTGGCTCTCCATTCTGGTGCCAGTACAGGGCACGCCGCTGCACCCAGTCCACCCATGGCTGAGCTGATTCCAGATGACGATGTGTTCTCGATGGCAGCTTCAGCCACTCAATTTAATGAGTATGACGGGGAGGCCCGTCCCATGCTTCTGGGCCTGGCTCCTGTACCTCAGCTCATGCATCCTCGTAGGGGGCAGATGACGGCTCCATGGATACCGTCATTCGCATGGCACTGGCTCACCAGCAGCTGGATGTACAGCAGCCCGAAACAGCGCCTGCCAGTGCGTTCTTCAGGCGCACTTTGGCACCCGCCACCTTTGCCGTTCCTCCCTCTTGTGAGTATCTGAGGGAGTTACATGCATGCTGGAGGGACACTAAGACTCTTTCCCGTCTTACGTCCGATGGCCGAGCCCTGACAGCCATGCAGGATGCGGCAAAAGTCGGCCTTGACCACATGCCGGCTGTTGAGCCTACTATTGCTTCCCTAATCGTTTCCCCTGACGAAGCTCTGAGGTCGGAGGCCAGGTGCCCTCGACCCCAATGTCGGGTCACTGATGACCTGCTCACTAAGGCTTACGATGCAGCAGCGCGCATGGGCCGTATAGGCAAGTCCCTCTCTCACCTCATGCTCGCCCTCTCAGCCTCCCTGCAGCAGGAGGCTCTTAGCGCTCCCTCTACCAGCCTCAGTGACGCCTCATTACAGGCGTTTGCTCTGATGTCTAGAGAGCTGGGCGCCTGATGTCCACTCTCGTCCAGACTCGTCGTCAGGTTTGGCTGGCACAGTCACCCTTATCAGAAGCATGTAGGAGGACTCTCCGTGCTGTTCCAGTGGAGCCAGGGGAGCTGTTCGGTTCAGCTTCCGTACAGGTGCTCGAACGGACTGTCCAAGCTAGTCAGACCAGGCAACAGTTCTCAGCTCTTCGCAGAGACATGCCCCCCCCCCCCCCCCCCCCCCCCCGGTAGGCCTAGAGGTTCCGCGTCTGCCTCCCGAGGCCGCTCCCATCCACCGGCTCACCCCGGTGCCCGCCATGGGCCTCAGCGTCCCACGAGGGGGCCGGCCCGCTACGGTCCTGTTAACTCACCCCCAAGACAGCCTCGGTATCCGGTGCCTAACCGTCGCCCCCCCAGAGCCTCCAGAGGCCGGGGGGCAAGGTACTGAAGGTCTGGGGCCGGCTGTCGGTTATTTCTCCCAGCAGCAGCTCAACTACTGGGTAGCTCAAGCTTCAGACCCCTGGGTGGTTTCCACCTTAACCCAGGGGTACAAGCTTCAGTTCCGACGCCGGCCCCCAGCCTTCAGCCGGGTCAAAATGACCACCATAAGCGACCCGGCAAAATAAATCACCCTAAACCAGGAGCTGTCAGTCCTCCTTGCCAAGGGTGCAATCGAACCTGTGGACCCCATCTCACATCTCACATCTTGACCTACTTCCTGGTAAGGAAGAAAGGCGGTGGACTTCGCCCAATCCTCGATCCGAGGGGACTCAACAAGTTCCTAAATATTTTACCTTTCCATATGCTGAGCACAGCGGATGTTCTTCGTACCGTTGCCAGGGGGGAATGGTTCACGTCCGTCGACTTGAAGGACGCTTATTTTCATGTGCCTATTGTGCCTCATTACAGGCAGTTTCTTCGCTTTGCCTTCAGAGGCCCTCATTTCCAGTTCAGGGTGCTCCCATTCGGACTCTCCCTCTCTCCAAGTGTGTTCACCAGGTGTGTCGCGGCAGCCCTCTCACCCCTGCAGTCTCAGGGTATGAAGATTCTGCCATACTTAGACGACTGGTTAATCTGTGCACCATCCCGGTTGCAGTCGACCCAGGACACGGCTGCCCTTCTCTCTCATGTCACCCGGCTAGGCCTCAAGGTAAACATGGAGAAGAGTTGTCTGAACCCCTCTCAGAGCCTAACCTTCATTGGGGTGGTTCTGGATACAGGCCTGTCCATCTGCTCAGCGCCTGGACGACATCCTCCAGCTTCTTCCCCTCTTCAAAAGGGGCAGGTCTCTGGCATATATCCTGTTTCTCCGCCTCTTGGGCAAGCTGACAGCTGCCTCAACTGTCGTTCCCTTGGGCTTGTTGTCACTGCGCCCCCTGCAGAGATGGCTGAACGGCCTCCACTTAGACCCCAAGTTGCACAGGCACAGAAAAATCAGGGTGTCACAACAGTGCCTCTCCACTCTATCCCCATGGAGTGAGAGGTCGTATATGTCGAGGGGCGTGGCCATGGGCTCCGGCCCTTTCCGCAGAGAGACCGTTACGACGGATGCCAGCCTCTCGGGATGGGGTGCGGTGTGGCAAAACAGTCAGCTCAGGACTGCACAAAACACATCAAGGTGCTAGAGCTGCGAGCTGTGCACCTAGCACTCAGGCACTTCCTGCCATACCTGAGGGGGAGGCATGTGCTTGTCCGCTCGGACAACACTACAACGGTGTATCACATAAACCACCAGGGGGGCACCAAATATGCACGCTTGCTAGAGGTGTCCCAGACTCTCCTGACCTTGGCAGCTCCTTTTCTGGCCAGCCTACGGTCAATGTATCTGCCCGGAGAGCAGAACCAAGTCGCCGACTTCCTCTCCCGTCACAAGCCTCCACCAGGGGAGTGGCGGATTCATCCAGAAGTGGTGGCCAGCATCTGGGGTCTCTTCGGCAGGGCAGAGGTAGATCTCTTTGCCTCAAATATGTCGACCCACTGCCCTCTATGGTTCTCCTTGATGGAGAAGATCAGCCCTTTGGGTCAGGACTGAATCAGCCAGGGTGTCTTCCAACCCCTTCCTCTGATCCTACCAACACTCCTCAGAGTGCTTCATCAGGGCCACAGGCTTCTTCTGGTGGCCCCCTTCTGGCCAGCCAGGACTTGGTTCTCCCTGCTGCACAGACTCTGTTGCGGGACACCTTTCATCTCCCCAACAGGAAGGACCTCTTCTCTCAGCTGGAGGGTCAGATGTGGCCCCCCGACCCCTGCCGCCTCCAGCTGTGGGTCTGGCCACTGGAGGGCCCGACCCACTGCTGAGCGACTGCATAGAGCCTGTCAGGGGGACTATTCTCAATGCTAGGGCACCATCTACTCGTAGGCAGTACGAAAACAGGTGGAAACTGTTCTCTGACTGGTGCCAAGGGCAAAATGAGGACCCAGTACATTGCTCGGTGCCTACTACCCTTGAGTTCCTGCAGTCCCTCCTGGACAATGGCCGGTGTCCCGCTACCGGTGGCTGCTATATCAGCTCAACACGCAAGGGTTGACAACAACACAGTGGGGAGCCATAGGCTGGTATCCCTCTTTTTAAGGGGAGCTCTGAGGCTTCACCCCCCGAACATCCCAAGGGCTCCTACATGGGATCTGCCCTTGGTGCTGGATGTCCTATGCTCGCCTCCCTTTGAGCACTTGTTAGAGGCAGAACTGAGGTGGCTCTCAGCTAAGACTGCTTTCCTTCTAGCCATCACCTCAGCAAAGCATGTAAGCGAGCTTCAGGCCTTGTCCGTGAACAGCTCGTGTCTGAGGTGGAACTCAGGTGGCTCAGGTGTCACCTTATGGCCGAACACAGCGTTCCTCCCTAAGGTGCTGGCACGCTCTCATTTTAATCGGCCTATCCAGCTGGCATGGTTTGACCCCCCATCAGGAGAGGGGGAAGAGAGGTCAAGACTCCTATGCCCGGTGCGGGCCCTTAGAGCTTATGTCCAGACTACCGCAGGCATACGTCAGCCTGAACAGCTCTTTCTGTGTTACGGTGGTCCTAGAAGGGGCTGTGCGCTCTCAAAACAGCGCTTGTCCCACTGAATCGTGGACGTCAACGCCCAGGCATACAAGGCGAATGACCGTCCCTTGCCATCCAGAGTAAAGTGCCACTCTACCAGGAGACATATGTGCTGCGGCCACATGGGCATCTCCGAGCACATTCGCCAGATACTACAGGGTGAATGTTGCCGCCCCTCACCCGCTGGGTGTGGTCCTCCTGCAGAGTCCACCTAGGCCATTCCTATAGGGTAAGTATTCAGACTTCCTCGTGACTCTGTTGGTATAGGTCATCCAGTGCTAAGCACCGCCTCTGGCAGTCAGTAAGGATGAAATAGAACAATAGTTACGTATGCAACTACGGTTCTATGAATCCTGGATGACCGCCAGAGTTCTTGGTCACTCGAAATCTCGTGTTTCCGCAAGAAGATTCCATAGGACTGAACTCGTTGACAACACCGGAACTTATGCCTTCCGGGGTCATACGAGGTCACACGTGACTTTGTTGATATAAATATTCGACATGCGCATGCAGAAGATATTCAGTGCTAAGGACCGCCTCTGGTGGTCATCCAGGATTCATAGAACCGTAGTTACATATGTAACTATCGTTTTGCACTGCGCTAAATTGTTAAGCACTGGAGTGGGGCAAAGATCAGCTTTTAACAGATCTTGGCCTTCTTCTCAGAAATAAAAATTATAAAATAAAACCAGTTTTGGGTTAATCAAATGCTAAACACTTTGACTTGATAAAGCTGGAAAGACCAGAGATGTGAAATACGTCCCAGTGAGTAAGAGAATTTATCAATTTTCAAACAGTCTCAAGGAGGCACGAGTAAACCCTCTCCTAAAGAAACCCACTCTCAACCCGTCTGATGTTATAAACTACAGGCCTGTCTCTCTCCTCCCGTTCCTTTCTAAAACACTTGAACGCGCTGTCTTTAAACAACTCTCCTGTTATCTCCATCAGAACAACCTTCTGGATCCGCACCAGTCTGGTTTCAAGGCAGGTCACTCCACATAAATGTCTCTCCTTGCTGTCTCTGAGGAACTGCACACTGCTAAAGCAGCCTCCCTCTCCTCTGTCATCATCCTTTTGGACCTGTCTGCTGCATTCGACATGGTGAACCATCAGATCCTCCTTTGCACTCTCCAAGAACTTGGAGTTTCAGGCTCTGCACTGTCCCTCCTCACCTCATACCTCAAAGACCGCACCTACAGGGTAACTTGGAGACGGTCCGACCCTTGTCAATTAACTACAGGGGTCCCTCAGGGCTCTGTCCTTGGTCCCCTCCTCTTCTCTCTGTACACAAATTCGTTTGGATCGGTCATTAGCCCGCATGGTTTTTCATACCATTGCTACGCTGACAACACCCAATTCATTCTGTCTTTTCCCCGTTCAGAAACCCAGGTCGTCACACGCATCTCTGCTTGTCTAGCAGACATCTCTCAG